CTGATGGATGAAAAGCTGGATGTGAACCAGCAGTGTGCATTTGCAGCCCAGAATGCCAGCTGTATCATGGGCTGCATCAGAAGAGGAGTGGTCAGCAGGGAAAGAGAGGGAATTGTCCCCCTCTATTCTGCCCTCGTATGGCCCCATCTGGAGTACTGTGTCCAAGCCTGGGTGACCCAGTACTGGAGGGATGCTGATCTGTTGGAGCAGGTCCAGAGGAGGCCACAAAGGTGATCAGAGGGCTGGAGCACCTCTCCTGCAAAGAAAGTTTGAGGAACTTGGGCTAATTTAGCTTGGAGAAGAGAAGGCTCCAGGGAAATTTCATTGCAGCCTTCTAGTACTTGAGAAGAGCTTATGAGTAGAAGGGGGGCTGACTTTTTACATGGTCTGAAAATGGTAAGACAAGGGGGAATGGCTTTAAGATAAAAGAGAGGAGATTTAAATTAGATGTTAGGAGGAAATTCCTTACTCAGAGGACAGTGAAACACTGGCACAGGCTGCCCAGAGAAGCTATGGATGCCTCATCCCTGGAGGCATTCAAGGTTGGGTTGGATGGCCCCTGAGAAGCCTGAGCTTCTCTGCTCAGGTGGGTGGCAGCCCTGCCCATGGCAGGGGATTCGAGTAGGGTAGGCTTTTAAGGTTCCTTCCTACCTAATCCATTTTATGATTTTATATTTTTAGTACTCTCTGAGGTATTTTGATTCTTGTGGTGTAGGATCATTCAGTAGCATTTAAAATAAACTAAATTAATTTAGTCATATATTCAGTCTTATATGCATAATGAAATGAGTTGTTATTATTTGTACGGAATCCTAGTAGCTATTCATTCAAGATGAAATTGATTGTTGATCTAATTCAGTTCTGATTTGTTTGCAATCCACAAGATTAAATCCACAAGATTAACAAAGCATGAATTACACTTCCTGTTAGTACCAAGTTTCAAACTGAACATAGTAAGATTTATCCCAATAAAAGCTATGATTTACTTTGCACTGTCAAATAGTGATAGCAAAAACTAGATTTTTCATATAGTGACCCATAGCAGCCATCAGTGGCGAAGATAATCCAAGTTAGATCTAGAAACGCAATTCTCAGTGCCTTTCTCCTTCAACAACAAGATCTAAAATAATCTGTACTTCTCAGAATGTAAGATCATAAAAGTGTTGAGATCTTACTTTGAGTCTAGAAGTGAATTTTGGTGTAGATTTATCTTCTTCAGGAACAATAGTCCATAAACAGTACAGGAAGCTTGACTCACCACTCTGCCAAAAAGTTATTCAGTATTAAAACAGAAAAAACCTTCTGAAAAGGAAAAATCTGTGGTCTTGTAGAAAAGAACTGAAATCGTGCAGACTAGAGTTGGAAACTATGAAGTGGAAAACAATGATAGAAACTTAAAATACCTTCCTTCTTTCCCTGAAATAGCCAACTCCCTTTACTGCCTCATTATACATCAGTGCTATTGAAGGTTCTGTATTATAATGAGAATATTTCTCACACATAAGATTTTTGAAGGCAAACTGCAACAGCAGAGAACATTTTTCATAGACCTGCGTAAATGAGAACCATACAGATACTGCATTTATATTCAGCTGATAATAAAAGTTTATTTAGCAAAGCCATTAAAGTCTGATTAAAATTTGATGAGATGATAGGATAAATGTGGTAAGTCCACTGGGGTCTGAATTGCTGCCAGTATTGATTAATACCTTTAACACCCCAATGGGAATCCTGTCAAAAGCATATTTCAAATATAAGTCATGGGAATCAGAATAAAGCCCCAGATAACAGCTGCCATATCATTTAGTTGAGCATATCGTGTCCCTTTAGGACAAGCAAATGAAACAAGGTAATGGAAAGTTGCTGAAGGATTGATTTGACTCACGAATGTACATGGGAATTTACAGATTCTGAAGATATGAGTCCAGGTTTGTACATAGCGTTCACCAGCCTAGTTGAATTTCCCAAGGGTTAAATGTGGCCCAGGTCTCTCTCCTGGTCACGTTAAATCAGACAAATATTTTGATGTATTTGAAGTTAACAGTTTGTAGATGGTAAGGGAATACATCTGGCAAGGAAACCAATGCAGAAGTGATTACAGAGAGACTCACGGAAGAAATTGTTTTGCTGACAGTAAAAATACAGTTTTTCCAGATATGAGGGTGGTATTAAACAATGTAAAACCAAGAATGAGAAGTGACAGACAGGAACAGATGTGGATGAAGATTCAGAAGAATGTTTGGAGAAAGGAAGAAAATGTAATAAAATCGTAACTGGTCTGTTAGCAAGTCTGTCATTTCTTTAAAGGTGAAGATAAGAAGCCTGAACTTTTATGTCAAGGCAGAAGCTCAAAGAAATGTGAAAGGAGAGAGAGAGAGAACTGCAAAAGCATTTCTGCTATACTTGTAGGGAAAATACTGAGATTTGGAAGGAGCAGAAAAAGGGTTATGTTTTATGAAAAAATCAGTCAAGCATGGCCTAGATTTGAAAGAGAACAAATTAAAAAAGAAAGGAATGAATGCTTGTGATTTAAATGGACAAAAGGTTAAGGGAAGTGTTGCAGATGACTGTGAGGTTGAAAGAATGGAACTGTGAATGATGATAAGGAAAAGGTAAGACCTAGAGTTTGCAGGGGGGAGGGTTGGTTTTGTTTGGTGGTTTGTTAGGGGGACGTTTGTTTTGCAAAAACAAGCCATGGGCGCCTTACTCCAAATCCTGTTTCTACAGAAAGCTAATGAAAAAGAGTTATTCATACAGAATAAGTGCAAAAAGAACTAACTGCAACCCAGCTCAATAAAGTTTTAGTGAATGGAAGAGTTCGTATTACTAAATAAAAAGCAAAAATCAAATCCAGCATGGTTTCAATGGATACAATACCAAATAGGGTTGATGTTATTATTTTATTAGAACAGGCTTAAGGTCTTTAAGAATCTTATATTTTGTCTTTCATTGCTTAATCAGTAATGGCAACTTTTATTTAAATTATCTGTCACTGACATGTTTTGGGACCCTGAAAGGTTCCTTACTCTTTTGGTAGGAAAGGAAAATCTAAGATATCTGTAACAGGGGATTCCTGTATGTAAAATATATCATTGTCATGCTTGGATCTTGATCCTCAGCTAGCAACCCTCAGACTGTTGTCTGCAGAGCTAGCTGATTACCAGAGGCTTTGGTGGAGACAACAAAGCAGGGTTAGGTTTACTGTTGTGGCATGATTAGAACTATCTGCTCATATTTGGATAGTACTTGAAGATTACAGAACATAAACAAGAGTGGTGAGAATGTTTAAGGGGAAAAGTTGCTATGAGTTTGTCATAAGTAGCTTTTTTTTGAAGATGTGTCAGTAAGTGTGCTTTGCTTGGAAAAGGCTGTGAGATGACTGTGTTGTTCATACATTAAATAGCAAATAACTTTGTCATTCTGCTATATTAGCTCAGAATAGCAGCTTTGAAATCTAAGCATGTATATATTGAATTAACTGCTTCTTCGGTACTTTTGTCTTGTTTTGTTATAGCTGGATGCAATATTGTTAGTTGTTACCCAGTGAACGTTGTCTCCAGTCTAGGATTTCATGTACTAGTGCATTTGATCTTTTCTTCCAACTGATCTTATGAAAGAAATTGATTCCTAATAGATATGCTAAAAATAATTTGCTGCTCAGGGATGAGCATATTTGTGCTGTTCAGTTTCTCAAATCTAACACACTTACTGGGCTTTAAATTAAAGTTCTTCCCTCCAAATTCATTTTACCTAGACATACAGAATCGTAGAATAGCTCAGGTTGGAAAAGACCTTCAAGATTATCAAGTCCAACCACAACCTAACTATAACTCTAACAGCCTTTTACTAAATCATGTCCCTGAGCACCACATCCAAACAGTTTTTAAACACATTCAGGGATTGTGACTCAATCACCTCCCTGGGGAGCCTATTCCAGTGCTTAACAACCCTTGCTGTAAAAAAGTGTTTCCTGATATCCAACCTAAACTTACCCTGGTGCAACTTGAGGCCATTTCCCTTCATCCTGTCACCACTCAGAAGAGACCAACCCCACTCTGGCTGTAAGCACCTTTCAGATGTGGGAAGAGAGCAATAAGGTCTGCCCTCAGCCTCCTTTTCCCCAGGCTAAACAGTCCTGGTTGCTTATGAATTAAGCAATAGAAATGTCCTGAGTGCTAATTGTATGTAGCCTGATGCTGAAAGTGTTAAAAGAGAAAATGGAAAGTTAACTTGCTCGAAGGGAAGAGTTGTTTGTTTTTGTATGTCTCTTCTTGCTAACATAAAAGCTTGGCTTACTGAATAATCCATGAGAAGCTAAATGTCTGTTAACTGAGGTCACAAAAATGCTGCTGTCAGCAGTCTGCCTTATATGGGATAGATAGAGCAGACTTCTGATTTAAGAGGTATGGAAGCAATAATTTTCATTTTGGAGATGGAAAAGCAAGGCCCAAGACTAACCACATAGACTAGTGCAATTAATGACATAATTCATATTTTGAAGTTCAACACCAATAGATTCCAGCAGGAATTAAAGAGTGTAATACTTTGATGGGTCTGGGTCTAAGTGGCTTCTCAGTCAGCTAGGAAGACTGGAGAAACCATGCATTACTCTGTGAATTTCATCCCAACCTTCCTTTTCCTTAGTGTGCAGAGGTTATATGGCATTATGTGCAGAACAGATTTTTCTGTGCATTTTCATTCTTGCTTTAAGAAGTGGGGGAAAGCATTTATGGTAACTGAGGGTAAAATACATTAGGTGTGGTCATTGGAATGATAATGCAGAGTGTGGAAATGTTAAAAAAAAATAAAAGGGGGAGATAAGCTGCACAAGGAGAGATTGCTTGTGCTGCTGGGGAAGTTAAATGAAAAAATATGCCAGCATTGGTTGGGTTGGCTGGCAGGGCTACAAATACATCTTAAATACAATCTCTATCTAATGTCACTAGTACAAAGTTCAAGAAAATTAGATGTGTACCTTGAACTTGTATCTTTACTTGCAGAAACACGATGGCCACTTCACAGTCATCCAGCTGGTGGGCATGCTGCGGGGAATTGCATCTGGCATGAAGTACCTCTCAGACATGGGCTATGTACACCGTGATCTGGCAGCCCGTAACATTTTGGTCAACGGCAACCTCATGTGTAAAGTCTCTGACTTCGGTTTGTCACGGGTGTTGGAGGATGATCCTGAAGCTGCTTATACAACAAGTGTAAGTTTGTCTTATCTATTTTGAACGGTCTGTCGCTCTGCCCCTTTTGTTTCAGATTTATCTAAGCCATAGGAATAATGGATTGAATTGGCTGACTTCGTTCATTTATCTTTAGTTATAAAGATATGCACATACAGGAGGGGAGGAAAACCTCTCACTGCTTCATCTCATGGAAGTGTTGCATCTTAAATTTAATTTTGATATAATTTAGCTTACCTTCTATTGGAGCATGTAAGACTGTTTTGTCAAGGTTTAAGTCTCATCATTAATACTTAAAATTCATCGTGCGGTACAAGGAAATTTGTTTTTGTAACAGCGAATATTTGTGGGTTTGTTGGTTAGTTGGCTGGTTTGTTGGTTGGTTGGATTTTTTTCTTCAGTGAAGTAAAATCTGGAGAAGCTTGTTCAGATTTGAAGAAAAATTAAACTTCAACTACAGTATGAAGCAGATAGGGAACGGATCACAGTGATGCCAGTAAATTTCAAGCTCAGATGGAGCACTTCTTCATCTCTGCAAAATATTCAACAACATTCCTCTTGTGATCACCACAACATCAAGAATCTTAATAAACTGATTTCAAGTAACTTTAATTCCTATCCGTGAAACTAAAATTATTTCAGAGCCAAGTCACTGAACTTACACAAGGCTGCTCCAAAAGTAATGCCTCCTATTGTATGATGCTAACCTACAATGTCAGAGGCAGATATTGGTGATATGGCAGTAAAGGCTGAACCTTCCCACTAAAACTGTTAGATTCTGTTGCCATGCAACAGAGGGCAACAGAGGGACAGTCTGACAGAAGCAAAGATGTGTCACTGAATTTCTCCATGCAGAAAAAATGGCACTCACTGTTTCATCTACACTTATGAGCATTTATGGAGACCAAACAGTGAATGTGAGCACAGGGAAGCAGTCGGTGGTGCGTTTCAGCAATGGCAAGAGAGACAGTGAGTCACCTCCGCTGGTACAGATTTGGATAAACACAACATACAAGCCCTTGTTCATCATAGAGAAAAATGCATAGCTCATGATGGTGACTGTGTTGAAAAAGAGTGTTTTGTAGCTGAGAATTTGTTCTATCAAACAGTGTCTTCTTATCTGCTGTAGCGTCCATGGAAATAAGTAGGAGGTATTACTTTCAGAGAGACCTACATAGGTTTCTGTGATAGGACAAAGTGACAGAATGCTAATAGGGATGGTAAACTAGCATTAAGTAATTTCTCCGTAAGTACTTTCATTTTGAAAAGTGATTTAGGCCAAAATGAGGAACTCATCTAATTTAACTGCAGTTGTAGTAAGTACTGTTTTATTTGTTGCATTCAATATTGCTGTAGTAATGGTATTGCAGAGTCTCTTTGTTTAACTCTAAAATAAATATGTTCTGATAAATTCACTGAAGTAAAAGACAAATGAGATTTTATAAAGCTGTCATGCTCTATGGCAAAATGGGTTTCCTTCTCACAAAACTAAGCTAAGTGGCCCTCTTACCTAGAGGATTTTCAACATCTCAGCAAGCACAGCCCTGAAATAGAAATGACTGACATCTTTTGCTTTATCTTGCTGTTGTCATGTACATTTTCTTCCTCTTTGCGTATTGATTTTGAGTAGATGCTGTGTTGTTTCTATTGGTGCATTCTCCCACATGCAGGGCAAAAATCTAGAATCAGTCTGGAAAAAACAGTAACTGTGATAGGGGAAGGCAAGAAAGGAAACTTCTTAGAATACTGCAACACTCTGTGCTCATGCTTGTTAGGAGACTGTTCAGGAAAGAGTGATGGAAAACCTGTCAGGTGCTCCAAGGTAACACAGTATAAGGACAGCATGTTTCCCCTAAAAATCAGGAAACAGCTTTTGACTTCTTTTTGTTGTTTTGGTTTGGCTAACCTATTAGGTTGGCCAACCTATTGAGACAATGAATGTAAATCTTATTTCCTAACTCTGTTTATCATTTATAGAAAAACTTTAAATGAAGTATAATTTCTGAATAGGGAGTATGAATTAAGAGTTAGTAATACCCAACTGCCAATCTTTGTTTTTCAGATTTGATAGGAAAAGATAAGGAAACTTATGAGATATACAGAAAAGTGTGGTGGGTTTTTGCCCTATAGAGACTAAATTTTCATATTTTGTGATGGTTTCCAAGGCAACAGCAGCTCATGAAAAGACATTTCTAGAATATAAGCAAGCATTCCTGTCAATACAGAGGACATCCAGGCTCTTGCATCCCTCTTTTAGGTCCACAATTTTATATGATGTGGATTCATTTGAATTTGAAATATATTCACAATACTTAGAAAAAAGCCATGGGTCTCCAGGAGAACTTGTATATAGCAAAATGTGTACATATGTATGAATAGATCATGATCTGTGTCACTACTGCACAAAGGGCTACACTGGTATCTGTTCATGGTGACACCTCGAGATTCTGCATTTGGGTACTGCAGTTGGATGAAAGCCTGCTAAAAACTGAACTGCATGACTCGTAAAGAAATATAATTGTAAGCTTTTATCATCAGGTGTATTTTTGAATTTTGCCTTAGTATGTACAACATATTCTTTCCTTAATACTTACTAGGGAGTTAAATTATTGGTTACTCTTTATGGAGTCACTCGAAATGTGTGGGTTTAATTCTTCTCAAGCCATTTGGCTAAAATACCTCATCCAGGGAGATTTCAGATTTATTAGATTGATTAGAGGAATAAAATAGATTGACAGCAGTAAGGTATAGAAACACTGACATGTAATGAAACTTCTGGCAGCTCAAGATTAAGGCTTAATTTGGGTTGTTGGGTTTTTTTACTTTATTATATAACTTTGACATGTTAGAACATTTTCAATATTCTCTCATTGATTAAGTTAGTTAAGTTAGGAATATGAAGGGGGGTGATGTTTTAAATTGCTCAAAAGAGAAACAAGATGCAAATGATTTTGGGATGTGAAGTAACTGTTTCTGAATGGTCTCATTCCTACGACAAGCATATTACCTAGTCATTTACTTTAAGAATTAACTGTAGACAGTGAAGTACCCTGTTTATTGGCAGCTGTTCAGAAAAACAAAACAGAGGGACTGTCAAAAGGTTTTGCCAAATCAGAAGTACAAAATTCAACGGGATCCTGAAGGGGTTGTCTTTAGATGAGGCAAGACGATACCAATTTTTCTTTACCAGGGTTATTGAGCTCCTGTGCAGGAATCCAGCTGCTGGCAGCCACTAGACATTTCCAGACATCACACATTCTGGATTCTAACCTTTAACAGCAGCAGAAAAGACTGTAGCATGATTTTGGTGCTAACATATAAATCAAACGTTTTTAAGTACTCATGTCTCAGAGTATGCGTGAGAGGTAGAAAGAAGCAAGTTACTAAGAGTTATGCTGATGTGCTTAGTCTGCTCCAGGGTATGGAGATGGAAGAACTAGTTAAAGCATGTGATCAAATTTCAGTCAAGTGGTATTCAGCTTAATTGCCTTCCCATGAGTTGCTAGATTACTTCCCTACACAGAAGATAAGTGGAGGTGGAGACGCATACGTGCTACTTAGAGATGCTGTCTTTTGTTGTGTTAGACTGGTCAAACATAACACATGTTCAGGTTATGCTCAATGACAAATAACTAGAGGATGAAGAAGCATCATAAAGAATAGTGTCCTGCCGAAAGACTTTGACCCTTTGACCTGTCACATAAGAAAGTGTGACTAGTCTTGATGTGTAGTTCTGTGTTTCAAAACTTTGATCACAAGTTCATCTTAGAGGTTTTCTGGTTTTATCATCAGCTTTCAAGAGCGGTCAATACAGGATTGCCAACAGAATGTAACAGAGATCACAACCAAAACAGATCCTTAGGAAGAAGCTCTCTAGACAAGAATGAAATAAATATAAATCTGCATAATCTCTCCTAATTTTGTCTGATTTTCCACTTCTGTGAGTATTCTTTCTAATAGTTGTCGCTTGACCTACAAATGTATGGGGTTGAGGAACAGCACAAAAGTTTTCATTTAGGTGCTGAGAGTCAAAAGGAGCTTAATTCAGAGAGATCTCTAAATCATGATGTTGAATTTAACTGTAAAACATGATGTAACAGCTCCTGCTATTATATATAAAAGAGCATCCCTGCTGTTTCTTCTCCACCATGCTACCTCAGTTTTTCATCCAATCTCTGGAAGTGTTCAAGGCCAGGTTGGATGGGGCCCCAAGCAATCTGATCAGATGGGTGGCAACCAGTCCATTGCTGGGGGACTGGGGCTAAATAGTCTTTAAGACCCCATCCTACCCAAACCATTCTATACATTTAGGAACTCCATATATGCGTTAAGCAGATAAATGCAAGTGGAAAATGTGTGTTTCATGAGCATGAAAATGTTCAAAATCATTTTTCATGAACTCAACATAAATTCATCCTAGCATCTTGGTAGTTGGAAGGGAGTCCCTTCCAACTCAGGGTATTCTGTAATTCTAGGAAGAAAACAAGTAACAAAAGCAGAGTATGCGTTATTTTCAAGCTTTCTTTGTAGCAGGCTGCAGAATTAGAGCACCTTATGTTTGATTCACTATTGCAATTTTTGATTCAAACAGTCAAAGGAACTCTAACCAGTAAAAAGAACCCATTCATGGATGTGCAGATTTTTCTTTGTAAAAGTCTTTGAATCAGGATGGCATTTTTCTTGAGGATATGCTCTAACATGTACAGAAGGGACTGTGGAGGATTGGTACACTGAAATTCTGTATCATGTGCTACTTAAATGCAAAATAAATCGTCCTGGCTTCAAGATTTTATTTATTTATTTATTTATTTATTTTGTTAAATCATTGCTTTTAAGTAGTTTAATTCTTCCAAATAGATTTGTTACTGAAAATGATAACAAAACATGTCTGTTGGAATAGCAACCCAAAAGAAGCAGTTATCTGTCGAAGTACAACCCAGTAGAAATACTCTAGAGTGTACAGCAGTAAAGATAGATAAACTAGGACAAGCATGTAAATCTGCAGAAATTAGCAGCATTTT